TGTTTGGAATAGTAGTACTTGAATAATTTCCGATCCACAGGATGCCTGGTTCATTGCCAGAGGGTCCTAGATTGACGTTTGGATTTGATAAGGTCAGTAAGGTTTTGGGGCAAAGGATTCTTTATAAAGGATTTTTTGGAGAGTGATGAGGATGCAGTCCAGACTGCTTGTTGGATCAAGGTGGTGAAGGAACTCACTGCATTATCTAGGTCTTGAGGAGTTTTTAGGGATACTCTAAAGTCTATAACATCTGTTATTGTTTGGCGGAAAAGGTTCCAGTTGACTGGGCCTCTGATAAATGAGGGAGGAGATAATATGGGAATAGGAGATGCGGAAAGGGTTAGGTTTAGCGGACTGTGGTCGGAGGAAAGGTCATCGAGCCGTGAAATTGAGAAATTTAGCAGCCCTAGACATTTGTGAATGAAGAAGTCAAGGTCAGGATCGGTTGGCCAGTATGTAGGAGAATTAGGGAAAAGGATGTTGCTATTATGGGAATTGAGAGCAGACAGCAATGTTCGCCCGCGGGAATTCGTGGTTCTAGCTCCCCATTGCTGATATTTGGCAATAAAGTCTGCACCTATAAGGAAATGATGTTCTAAGTAATTAAGAAAGAAAATGAAGTTAGGTTCGGGTATTGCTAGTTTAGGTGGAGAGTATGCTGCTACACTAGCGGATCCAGGATTAAATTTTGGGGGAGGGGGCTTCAGCCCGAAAGCTTTTTTTTTCATAAAAATAACGATAATTACTTGGGAAAATAAGAAACTAGCTACCTATATGAACTGGTGTTTAAGTGATTCATAAAGCCCTTTTAAATGCAATTACACGAACAATTATACTTTAAAAGACAATTTATTAATATTTTTTTCGATAAAACATGGTTATATTTTACCATTTTGGGGGGGCTTCAGTCCGGAAGCCCCGTAGATCCGCCCTTGTGCTGCTACAACTGTAACAGGAAAAAGTGAGGTTTGGACAGTTATTGCTGAGGTTTGTAGGAAATTATAAACTGGTAAAGGATAAAAGTAATGGGAGAGGGATTGATGGATGAATACGGCAGTACCATCAGGGTGGTCAGTTCGGTAAATCTTGTATGTAGGTATGTTGAACTGTCGTTTGTTAGTCAGTCGGGTCTCAGTTATTAGGGCTATGTCAATGTTATTGTCATGTAGAAAAAAAGTTAGTTCGTTTATGTGGTTTCGAACACGATTTGCATTCCAGAGGAGAATGGAAAGGAGTTTTGTTGAGGACATTTAAGGAATTTTTGGCGGTGGGATAAGATTGGATATGAGCGGTATCGTAAGTAAGGATATGAGCGGAGTGATAAGTGATCTGAATTCTGTGAGAAACGATGTAAGGAGGCTGATTTTTTTTTTTTTTTTTTTAAGCTCATTTATTGAAAAATATTACAATCTGTCTCAAGGACATTTATAATAGTGTTCACAGATCACATTCACACTCTATGAACAATATATAAAATAAATTATACAGAAAAATAATACATATACAATAAATAAGAATAAAATAACCTAAAAAAATGAATAAAAAGAACACATACATACCTATATACAACATTTACATGGCGAGAGAACTTCAAACCAGACTTGTCCATCCAACTGTGGAGGGAAAAACATGACTCCAGGAGATCCCTGCACTTCTCTCTCAACCGCGTCACTAGGGCTAAACCCAGTGGAGATTGAGCAAGAGTGCTTAAGCCACATACACTCATGTCGTGAGAGGAAAATCTGGCCATTGCCAGAACTAAAATATTTACAAACTATAAAAGGTCGCAGGGCCACTGCCGTTTTAACCTCCTTGGAGGATTATATAGATGGGTGGTGCTGGATAGAGATTGTGCAAAGGGATTTGGATGATGGGTAAGGTTCTGGTGGAATTTGGAGAATTTTGCTTGGATAAGGTCTAGGGATTTAAGTCTGGTAGGGTTTTGTTGGTTACATAGAAAGTAGCATCGACTATTGTCCGAAGGAATTTGGATTGGATGCGTTTGATGTTAGAAAATTTTGCTGTTCCCACAGTACCGTAAGTCCAAATAGGTTTCAGTATTGTCTTGTAGATCAGTAACTTGTTTTCAATGGGAAGTTTGGATTTTCTGTTTAGTAGCCGGTATAGTTGGCTGTATCGTCGGTTTAGATCCTGTCTTTGAAGTCTAGTATGAGGGTTCCACGTTAATCGTCTGTCTAAGAGAAAGCCAAGGTACCGGACTGTGTCTGAGAAAGGAAGCTGGATGGAATTAAAGTGTACTGGTGGATAGGAACTGCGTCGGAGCTTAAAGGCGGTGTGTTGGCATTTGGATTCGTTTACTTTAATACGCCATTTATTACACCAATGCTTAATAAGGGAGAGGTGTCTTTGAAGGTTTAAGGATGCTATATCAGGATCTAAGTCGGATGACAGAATGGCGGTGTCATCAGCAAAAGTTGCCAGGAAGGTATCGGGATGGACAGGAATATCGGCGGTAAAGAGGATGTAAAGGACGGGAACCAATACGCTACCTTGATTAACACCTGCCTCAATTGGATAGCAATTCGAAAATTCAGTACCGCAGCGAACTCGGAAGGTACGATCTGAGAGGTAGGAACGGAGGACAAGGTATAAGGACTAAGGAAGATGGGTTTTAAATTTGAAAAGAAGCCCGGCGAGCCATACCCGGTCAAAAGCTTGAGGTATGTCCAGAAATGCACCCGAGCAATATTGCTTGCTTTCCAGGGCTGCGGAAATATGATAGACCACTCGAAGTCCTTGCTGGGCTGTCGAGTGCTGGGTACGGAATCCGAACTGATGTGAAGGAAGATTTTGAGATTCTGTAAAGGGTAGGATTCTTTTTAGGAGGATCTTTTAAAGGATTGGAAGTAGGCTAATGGGTCTGTAGGAACTTAAGCTGTTGGGTGGTTTGCCTGATTTTGGGAATAGGATAATAGCAGAATGTTTCCATAAAAGAGGAAAGTGGGTAGTTCATAGGATGCTATTGTATATGTATGTAAGGAATATGAAAGCTTTAGGAGGGAGTTGTCTAAGGATCTGAGAGGTAAGGAAGTCGTATCCAGGTGATTTGCGGGGAGGTAGTTTTTGTAATTGGAATTTGACCTCAGAAGGATTAACTGCTTTAGGCGGTAAGGAGAGTGGGATGGGTGAATTAAGGAATTCCTCTACTGCTGACGTGTGGGTGGGATTGGATTCCGGATGAGAGGTGAATGTAAGGGAAAGGTGTTGGGCGAATTCCTCGGCTCTATCTTCGTCAGACGCTGCCCAAGAGTCATCACCTCGACGGAGAGGTTGTGATATATGATGGGGTTTTAGGATTTGTTTAGTGATCTTCCATAGTGAATTGTCATGAGAAGAGAGGGAAGTAAGGTAGGAGTTGAAGTATTGGGATCTGAAGGTGACAAATTCTAGCTTTAATTTTTTGCAAAAATAATTATAGGATTGACGATCGGTGGAGTGTCTAGTACGTTGCCATAATAATCTGGCACGGCGTTTGGTATGGATTAGGTCTATGAGGTGTTGATGTAACTTATTTTTCTTGGGTGTTCTTGAGGAGTGGTTTGAAGACGAAGCAGCAGTCCAGATTGCTTGTTGGATAGTGGTGGTAAAAAAAGTGTATGACATTGTCAATGGTACTCCATACTCATTTTAGTAAATGTATTGTATGTGATCATTGGCACTTTATTTTTGTATTTATCCATTGCTCTGTCGAAAACCAACGCTGCTGGAAATTGCTCTGGCCAATATACTGATGATTTCCGTACAATTGTTGTTAATTATTACATCAAAATTTTCTCCTAAGACCAGTAAATTGGTCATGTCATTAGGTATGTTAGTCTTACTTAAGTTTACCACCCTATGTCCTTTTGTACATGTCCTGACAATTTTTCATAACTCCCTCATCTTTAAGAACAGTATCGATGTAAATTCTATTTATATATTATAGGAATTGAATAATCATATTTTGCTTTGTTATTGAAATAGTATGATTTCATGAATTGTGGTTTGTAAGTTCTATTTATTATGATGTAGAGATGGTTGACCCTGATATAATATGAGGAGTTGTTGGGGTGGGAGGTGCGGTCAAATAAATTTATTTGCACCCCCCCCCCTCCCTGATCAACTCCTATTTATTATGTTATTAATTCTATCATTAGGGTGAGACAAGACATTATTTACATGTTCTTTTTAATATGCTCAGTTAATATTCTGTCATGTGAAATACTTTAGAAAAACATCCTGTCCATTTCATTTTTTAGCTGGTGTAGTCTCCAATGGGCTTGTTTAATTTCCAACTTTAAAATGTGAGTGGCTATTCCAGAAATAATGTTTTTATTTTTTGGTTTACAGCTATTCAGGAAATTGGTGTTGAAAAAATTTTCAATTAGCATAATAACTTTGAAAATGCGTAAGGCAATTTTATTCTTTGAATTACTAAACTTATTAAGATATCTTAATCGGATCCTACCTTTTACATATTTATCACTTAAATTGATAAAGGTTTTTACTATATCATTCTGTAATCCACTAATAGTCGCTAAGTCCTCTATAAATGACTTCTAAATCTCCTTAAATCCTCAAGGATGACCTGTTAAGCCTCTGATTCGTCATTTCTAAATCCATTTGTTCTTATTTGATTTAGATCAATTATTTATAATAATATAAAGTAATGCTGTGTTTTAAACTTCACCACATTTAATTTCATTTTACATTGGCTATGTTTCGGCTAGCATGCCATTTTCAAGCCATCTGTGGCACACTAGCCGAAACATAGCCAATGTAAAATGGAAATAAATATGGTGAAATAAAAAGCCTTACTTTATATTGGTTGTACCTTTAGAACAACTCTCCCCCCTCCATATGTCAGAAATGGCAAGGTAGGGGGTAGAGATGGGCAGATGAATTGAGAATCAAATCAAACCTCTGAAAGAATCATACTTTAAAGCAATTCACACGAAAGAAACACGATTCACTCGGAATCGGTGGATTCAAAAGGTATTATTAAAAATAAAAGTACAAAAGAGAAAAACAACTATATTCATATATAGGTAAATAATAAACAAACAAACAAAATAATAAATAAATAAACAACATTGAAATGTTTAATGAAATATTTGTATAGAATAGATTATTAATAATAGAAGTATAAGAGAGAAAAAAATAAACAAAATACTGATATGAAATGCAGGACTTATAAATATTTCTGTCCAATTTAAACTTCCTTTCTATACATGTAAGTCCATGACTTTTAATTTCAATAAGTTATATAAATGACTTAAAAATATATTTAACTTCTGGAATCTAATCAGACCTAATGTTTAGTTCATATATTAGGTTGTCTCATAAGTTCTTTCTTATTTCCTTATTTGTTGTTTAAGGTTGATTTACTGTGTTATATATGAACCGTTCTACTCTGTTACTTTCTTCCATTTCTCAGGAAGCCTCTGATACCCTTTTCTCAAAATTGTTGAGAGTTATATGTAAAATATTCATCGAGATGAGTTTTTATTTCTCTTTTGAATTTGTGACATTTATTTCGGAGAGAATTTAAAAAAAAGAAAAGAAAGAAAGAAGTATTAATTAGATGGGGCAAGGTCTGGGATTAGGGGGGAGGATGAGGTAGAAAGTCCCAATCAAACTGCAAGTTGCGATCCCAATAAAACTGTAAGTGAGTTAAATGTCACAAATTCGAAAGAGAAATAAAAACGCATCTCGATGAAAAAAGGTAATAGAGTAAAACGGTTGATATATAACACTGTAAATCAACTTTAACAAAAAAGAAAGAACTTGTGGGACAACCTAATATATGAATTAAACATTAGGTATGATTAAATTCCACAAGTTAAATATATATTTAAGTAATCTATATTTTATACTTAAAACATACAGAAGTGTTTCATATTGAAAACTATACAACAATAAGAAAACTACTTAATTAACAAAAATAAACTCTAACAATGAAGTAAAAAATTAACATCTACTTTTGATTTGACTTCTTTATTTTTTTCTTCTGTTTCAACTGCCTGCTTTTAGATGATCCTCCTTTCCTGCTATGCCGAGGAAGTCTAATCTTCAAGTCATCCCAGCTCTTAAAAGATGATCTAATTTTTGGTTTGTGAGCACGAGCACTTTTTCTTACATTAACTTTTTTAAGAACAGGAGAAGGACTATTAAAAAAAACAGATCTGAAATCTGAAGGACTACCTAGTTCCTTATCTAAAATAATAGTAGCAGCTTGTTTTTTAGGACTAAATTCTTTATTGTCAAAATCTTCACCTAGGTTATGAAGTCCTTCTTCACTCCCGGAATCTCTCAAAATCCCCGTATCAACAAGACCAATTACTTGAATCTTTGATGAAAATGGTGATGAACCATTTTCTTTCAAAAGAGACTCTTTTGGAGATATATTGAAGTTATCATCACAAGTGTTTTTATATTCTTTGTGGACAAAAGAGCCTACTTCAGAATGAGAAACCTCAGCTGTATGATCTTTAGCAGATGGCACAATATCATCACTGACTTTTTTGCTTGGAAAATCCTTAGACTCAGTAGCAGTAACACTTTGTATTTCATTGTTCACTTCTATATATTTTTTTACACTTGTGCACAACAACAAATTCTCACCACCAGAATTGGATGGTGTGTCTAGTATTTTACTAGTGCCGGGCATATTGAGAAAGTTACTTTCTTTAACATTTGGTACCAATAAGTTTTCTATGATTTGAGGTAATATCAGCTCTAAATTATCAGGGTTAACAGTAAATTCTTTTTTGTGTAGAACGAAATTCTCAGGTAACTCTTTGATTTCTTTTTCAGTAATATGGATGATATCTCCTTTTACACCAGTCAAATGTCCATCAAAACAGGTTACTACAGGATCGGTTTCCATAACAGTGACTTTTTGTCCATCAGCTAATTTGATTTCAATAGGGAGCAGATCAGGTGGGATTATGCTCAACGAATTAAGCTTGACTGAATTAGATGCATTTTTAATATCTTCCAATGTTATTTGAAGGCGTTCAGCCATAGATCTCACCGCAGAAATTCTTTCATCTATACTGTAGTTATTGTTAATTATTATAGAACAGTCATGAGACTGGTCAGAATTAATTTTTCTGCTCTTAACATCTTCTTTGGAGGTGTACATCTTGATTAATATTATCTATTAGTTTCTTATATTCTATTAGTTTAAATTACATCCACAAGAATCTTTTTGTATGAGCACTAATTTAAGTGAAAACTATGAACACTAATACAAAAATTAAATGCACTTAATGTTTGTAATAAGTATGTGCAAGATTTTAGTTAGGTCTTTTCTCAGCATACTTTTTTGAGTGCTCATTTGCCTGTTTGAAAAAGATTTTCCTATCTTTCAAAAATTCTTCAGCAATATCTGCTCTTAACGGATGATCTGGTTCTGGCTCATTGACTAGATCCAACAGTGCTTGGATAACTGAAAAATAAATACAAAATTAATAAATTTAGAAATATTAAACAATAATTCTATGTTAGTATATAAGGTAAAATATGAAAGGCTTTTAACACCACCAATTAGATAAAAAAATTAACTCGTAATGAACATTTCATAATGAACTATATTGTTAAAATTATCTCACCAATTGAGTTGATATTTACATTTTGCATCCTGAAAAACTCTGAAGTACAAATTTTTATAACAATCAAAAAATTAAATATTTTTTTTAATAGTTCGCTATGTTTAGATAGATAGAAAATAACTTTATTCTGGGACAAAGTCCCTTGAGAATAACATCAAACAAAAGATTAAAATAAAATTTAAAAAAGTAAAGAAAACTGTTGAGGCCAACAAAAAAATAAATTTGTTAATTTTTTTTTTTTTTTTCAATAACATTATCTATATAGAAATACATTTTATTTGTACATTATTATATCATTAAATATTTGGTGTATTACAAGACTAAATTCTCGGCCATTCTTGGGACAGCTCGCCTCTTGACATGAAGTAGCAAGTAGCAAACAGATAGTAAGGCATACCATGAAGATTGGTGACACATTGGCTCTTATCCTATCCCAGCACGGACTGGACGGACCTCAAAAGTTCAAGGTTTCCCTGTCCACTAATGAATGGGTGACTTTCTACATATAATAATTCACCTTTTTAATAGTTGTAGTAAAGTTGAATAAAAAGAAAATCCTGAGAAGTTATGAATGCTTTGGCGAACAGCATTGAGAAAAATCCTCCAATAAAATCAAGTCCAAAAATTTATATTTTTTATATCAATACAAATTTTTATTCAAGAGTTTTAGAGAATGCTAGAAACAAATCCAAATTGTTTTTTCATGCCTTATTTGGCCTACTTTACTGGAAGCATCTTTTCTTTTTTTTTTTTTTACATTTCATAGAATTGGCAAAATGTTTTTCTTGTTTTTGTACAAAAAAAAAAAAAAAAAAAAAAAAAAAATGATAGGTATACTATAACCTAAAAAAAAAAATCATGAAGAGTAAAGACAAAAAACAATTGTATAAAAAATGTTAAATATTATTTTTTCGGCTCCTTGGGCACACTAGCATGAATCCTCAGACATGGTTCTAATACTTTTCAACCTAGCATCGCTAAAAAAAAAAAAATTAAATAAAAAAAAACCAATATGATCCAAAACATTTCAGACTTAGTTTTGTTGTAAAAATAATATAAAATTGTGTACTTGAATGGAAAAAAATGTGTTTAATTTGAGTTGGAATAGAATTTATGTGATAAAAAATGTACATAAGATTGAGAGTGCATATTTTAAATAAAAAAGAAGGTTCATATATTTTTTTATACAAACGGTGAAACACATTTTTACAATTTTCTCAAAAATGGCTCTAACGATTTTGATTAAACTCGGTGTATCATTGTATAATTAAGTGGACTATCGTCATATCATAATATTATTTATGTCTTATCCTCATTGATGTCACTTTACTGGGCTTAAATGGAAAATGTTCATATAAGTCTTCTTTTAAAGTACCTTTAATATTTTATTTTTTTTTTTAAATTAACTCTCTTTGATTGACAGTAACTATAAAAAATGGCTAAATATGAAGTTTGATAATTGAAAACTGGAGAAATAAAGAAAAATGCTTATCCAGATTGAAAATGAATCTCCGGAAATAATAGTAAGAAGGTATACGTATAATATATCGTTGGAAAGAGAATAAAACAAATATAATAATATCTAATAAATAAAGTTGTAGAAGGTAACGGAGAGTGACGAATAAAATATGAATAATAATAAAATTTATAATTTTGAGGGAAATCACTCTATTTCACCCTTACACCTCTACTCCATGCTTCAATTCATTATAGTTTTCTCGACGACGTTTCAGACAATTTTGCCCATTTTCAAGTCAAAATATTTATATAATTATTGTAATATTTTATCCTCACATTCTTCTGATTATAAAATTTGTAACATATTTATGAAAAGTCAATTCTAAAAAATCGTAGACCTTCAAAAAATTGAACATTATTTTAAATTTACATCAAATTTTACACATTTTTGTGCTTTTAATACAACAGCCTTGTGTCCCGTGGACTGTTAAATTAAAAGGCTAAAAGAACGAAAATGTGTAAAATTTGATGTAAATTTAAAATAATGTTTAATTTTATGAAGGTCTATAGATTTTTTAGAATTGACTTTTCATAAATAAGTTATGAATTTTATAATTAGAAGAATGTGAGGATTAAAATGTTATAATAATTATATAAATATTTTGACTTGAAAATGGGCAAAATTGTCTGAAACGTAGTCGAGAAAACTAAAATGAATTGAAGCATGGAGTAGAGGTGTAAGGGTGAAATAGAGTGATTTACCTCAAAATTATAAATTTTATTATTATTCATATTTTATTCGTCACTCTCCGTTACCTTCTACAACTTTATTTATTAGATATTATTATATTTTTTTTATTCTCTTTCCAACGATATATTATACGTATACCTTCTTACTATTATTTCCGGAGATTCATTTTCAATCTGGATAAGCATTTTTCTTTATATCTCCAGTTTCCAATTATCAAACTTCATATTTAGCCATTTTTTATAGTTACTGTCAATCAAAGAGAGTTAATTAAAAATAAAAAATAAAATATTAAAGGTACTTTAAAAGAAGACTTATATGAACATTAGCCATTTAAGCCCTGTAAAGTGATTTAAGTCATAAATGATATTATGATATGACGATAAACCACTTAATTATACAATGATACACAGAGTTTAATCAAAATCGTTAGAGCCATTTTTGAGAAAATTGTAAAAATGTGTTTAACCGTTGGTATTAAGTGGCAGTTCCGTTAAGTCGATTTTGGAGAAAAAGTTGTTATCACTTTCAAGGCATATGACTATCTTAAATAAGTTATATCAGTTTCGTACGACTTTTCATTTTTGAGCTAGACTGTTCACATACACATACACGTAGTGTCATTTTGCGGTAATTGAGGGACTTCTAAAACTTTATTTCCGTTGAAAACTCAGTTAAAAAATTTTCACGATCGCAATACTTTCCCTTACTATATATTACACATATTGGTAAGTGAAAGTAAAAATATATTAATGGACAGAATTACTATCATCTCTGAAAAGAAAACAAGGATAATGCAGGAAACATTATTTGGCAGAACGAATATGTTGTAGACCGATGTAGAAAATATTTCAGGGAGCTGCTAGAAGGGAGTTCGGTCCATTCGGATTATGAAGCTTGATTCTGATAAAAGAAGACTTTATCAGTAAGGAAGATCAGTGGAGTCCCTCAGGGCTGTGTCCTTAGTCCAACCCTAATCTGCTCAACAATAAACAACTTGGGGCTGAACCTGCCAAGAGGTGTTAAACCGTTGTTATTTGCGGACGACTTAGCTATTATCTGTCATTCTAAAAACATTGCCACCATAAAATGTAAACTACAGGATGCAATAAACAGAATCAATAACTGGTCCCTATCCACTGGTCTTCAATTTTCTGCTGAAAAAACTAAATGCCTCCATTTCAGTAAGAAGAGAAACACCCCCTCCTCTCCTGAACTCTATCAAGGCAATGCCTTGATTCCATATATGGACAAAAATAGTCTTTTATGCATATGACATTCGACCAAAGATTGGCCTGGGAGTCGCACATTTCAACATTGAAATCTACCTCCACAAAAAGATTAAATATACTGAGATATTTTAGCGGTACCTCCTGGAGCTCTGACAGATCCACCCTACTAAAACTTTATCGCTTTTTAATATGTTCAATACTGGATTATGGATACTTCGTCTAAGGTTCAGTTCGTTACCGTGTATTAAGTAGAGTAGATGTTATGCATCATACCGTTATTCGAACTGCGTCTAGCGCGTTTCGAACCAGCCCTGTTCTCAGGTTTGTTTTCTGAAGCAGGAGTGCCCTCTCTTTTATTTAGAAGAAAAAAACTATCAGTTAATTACATATCTAAAATTCTCTTTCAACCGGACCACTCTACACGTAGATACATATTCATACCAAAGTTTTCCAAAGCTTTTGAAAAAAAAAAAAAAAAAAACGAAATCAACGCTTCCCTTATCAGAGAGAATAAGTTCAGCTTCTGTATTCCTCAGAGGAATTCCTCAAATCAAGCATGAAATTCACAACCCTCCTTGGATTAACAAACTTAATAATGCTAAACCGGTTACGAAAAACTAAAACTTCACCGACTGATTACAAAACCAAATTCTCACACATCCTTCAAAAAATATCAAAACCATATTTAATCTGTACAAATGGATCTAAATCGGACGAATCCACAGCGTCTTCTTTTGTCTCCCATAATTCGACGCACAAAATAAAACTAAATTATCTGTGCAGTATATATACAGCCGAATTTCAAGCAATAGTCTCAGCCCTCCACTTTTCTAGAACAATAACAGTCAAAACATTACAATAATAACTGACTCCCTAAGTTCTCTAAAAGGGATGAATATTTATACCCGAAACAACCAACCATCTTAAAAATTCGTAAATATGAAAATATACTAGAAGCTCTAGGAAAATCGGTATACTTTATTTGGACACCGAGCCAATGAGATTCGTTGGAAATGAGCTCGCGGATGTAGCAGCGAAATAAGCTCTTACCCTTCCAGGCCGGGATGCTGCCATTTTAACACAGCAAGATAGAAGATAGTCTTCCCCTCAAAAAAGAAATAATTCATAGCTGGCAATCTATGTGGAATGAGAGTCCGCCAAGCAAATTAAAAGATATTACGTAGTAAAGCCGTGGTCAACATCGAATCGCCTTATCGCAGAGAAGAAGTTGTCTTAACCAGACTGAGAATAGGCCACACCAATCTTACCCATTCACATCTCATTAGCAAGCAGCCACCACCACAATGTCAACACTGCAATAATACACTTACAGTCAGCCACATGTTACAGGAATGTTCTTTTTACATATCAAATCTAAATAGTCTAGGACTTACACCTCCAATATCAAACATTTTAAGTGATGACGAAGACACTATAAAGTTAGTGTTAGATTTCTTAAAATCAAACAATTTGTTAAATAAAATTTAAAAATTTAATCTAAAGATAAATAAGATTGATTTGCAGGTGTTGATAACCTGGATGTTTTAGGCCTTTGAAGCCCCAACAAACTAAAAAAATTATATTATATGAAAATAATATACATTATCGACATTGATATAAAAATAAAAAAATAAATTTTTACATTATGTACAAGAAATAAAAATATAATTTTTCTTCAAATATGTGGGCATCCAATGGTGGCAATCTTGTGCATGAACTAGTGCTCTTATATGCTAATATATAGGTTTATTGCTCTTTTATTGGCCGACATTAGTGTATAGGCCGATGTTTAGGTGGTTTATTTATTCTTAATTTATTAATTTAACAAAATTTGGATATTCCAGGTGAAACTGTACGAATCTTGAAATAAAGTAATAAAAGGCCGACAGGGCGTACATCGCCATATCGGTCTTGAAATATTACTTTTCCTAAATATCGTATATTTTATTCAGCAATAAGAAGAATATTACAAGTGAAACTGTGAGCACCTCTACAAATTTAATATGATAGCAGATATATCAGTCTTTGGTATATTTGTAACGACTACAATTCCTACATATGTCGGTCCCTAGAAGACAGTTTACATGTTTAATCAGCGATAAGGAGAATATTCCAACTGAAACTGTAAGCAGCTTGGAATTAATGTAATTACCAATATACCGGTCTTGGGTGTATCAAGCTACAATTCCTAGAATACATCAATCCCTATATGATACATTGACTAGTTTATTTAGCAATAAAGAGAATACTCCAAAGTTAAACAGTAAGAACTTCGAAGGAATGATATTTCAAATACCTACTAGGGACTAGTGCATGATTAATTTGTGTAATGTGATGGGAGGGGGGAACAGAAAATTGATTTTTTTGGAATATCTCAAAAACTATGATGTTTTTTGCAAAGATTGTTCAGTACAATATTTAAGTAATTTATAATCTTTATGAAAATGATCTTAAACAATTTTATGATAAAATCAATGGTTAGGAGATATTTATGAGATCATATTTATTATATTTACACTTTAAGCAAAAATTGCTCCAACCACAAAATTAATGTTGTTCATAGACGATTCCTTTTTGAAGTTTAATTAGTTTTTTTTTAATTTTCGGTCATTCAAAGATTCTTTCTTTTTATGATTCTTAAAAGTCATTAACAACAGAATTATATTCGGTATCAATCAATAGGGAATTTCGTGATAATGATACGAAGTTTAGATTAAAATTAATTTCATATAATTGATATGTGATAGAAAACATTAAAACTTATAAAAACATACCATAAACCAGGGTCTGATTACATATACAGAACCAGGAAACTTAAATTTTGTAATTTTCAAACCAATCAAGTTTTATGTTGAATAAAAAGTAATAACTAAACAATGTTTAATTTAGGTTACAACTAATTACTTCACAGTAAACTAGATTAAATGCAACTAAATCTTACCTTCTTTAAAACAATTTAAAGGGGACTTTTAAGCAGTTAAACTACGGTAAGTTCGGGTTTTCAGAAAATCAAGTATTTTATAACTCCCCAACAGGACTGAAGACATACAACACATTCTGAAAAACTTCCTTGTTTGATGAGCTTTAAGTCTATATCAATTAAGTTGAGTTTACATTTTCTCTAATTGAGTAAAAATATTATTAGTATGGAAAAACTAGGAATCAACCCAAATATTTTTACATTTTTTTACTCAATTAGGGATGAATCTCAACTTGCTCTGTAACAAACCACAACTTAATATAAACTTAAAGTCCATCAAACATAGACATTTTTCTGAAAGTGGGTATCTTCAGTCTAGTTGGGGGGGGGTTACAAAATAAATCGTGAAGTATCCTTGATTTTATGGAAACCCGAATTTACTGTAGTTTAACTGCTAAAAAGTCCCCTTTAAATTGTTTTAAAAAAGAAAATATTTACTTGCATTTAATGTAACTTTAACCAAGTTTACTATGAAGTAATTGTTTACATTAAACATTTGTTTAGTTGTTATGTTTTATTTAACATAAAAACGTTTTTGGCTAAAAAATTACAAAATGTAAGTGTCCTGGTTTTCAATGACTTTTAAGAATCATTAAAAGAAAGAAACTTTGAATAATAAATTGAACGGTTGAAATGTTAAAACTAATTAAACTTCAAAAAGGTATCACCTACTATGAAAAACATCAATTTCATGGTTTGGAGCAATTTTTGCTGAAAGTGAAAATGCTATAAATATAATCTCATAAATATCTCCATAACAATTGTTCATAAAAAAAATGTAAAGAATCATTTTTATAGAGATTTCAAAGTTCTTTAATATAGTACTGCACACTCTTTGCCAATAACCTCATAGTTTTTTATATTATTCTCAAAAAACTAAAAAAATATCAGTTTTCTGTTCTTCCTCCCCCTCCACCCATCAAAACTTGATGTGGGAATCTTGGGGACTTTTTACCAGTTATTATGGGGAAGGTAACAACAGATTCTGACAAGTTTTATCTTTATTTTTTTAATGTTGGGGTCAATACCTAATTTTACCGGACTATTAAGAATATTATATAACTGTTCAGTAAAATTTGTTGCTTTAGTTGATTCTGTGTTTTAACAATGAAGTTGCTAACAAATATTCATTTGAACAATAAAGACCAGAGAAAATATTGAAATGATAGACAACGCACAGAAATACACAAGTTTTAAATCATTTTAACTAAAGGAGATTAAAATTTTTCAAAGCCTAATGTGTCTTCCTTTTTATTTCAGTAAAAGTTGAACAAGCGATATAATATTTCTATACATCTGATAAATTCATATTAGGCTGTAGGTATATTACAAATAAGTGGGATGGATTATTTCTGGTCTGCTTAAATATGATTTTGAATTTTGATAGTAGATCACTAGTTAGTTATTAACTGCTATTAGAGAGATTAAAAAATTTGTGCGATATAATCTAAGAGTGCCATGCCGATAAAAAGGATTTTTTTATGTCCACTAAAGCAGTTGACTTCCATAACCTAGATGTTCTTATGTATTATTATATTATGAATTTGGATTTTTTCTTATCTAGAGATCCCAAACTTGTCTGATCATTCTTACCAGACCTAACTGGCACGAGTTTCCCTACCAGCAAAACCCTTGGATTATCAGAATACTCAAGCACTAAGCCAAGAATGAAATACCTAAAGAGATGTACATTTTAAAGCATAATAGATGAGTGAATGTAGAAGGTAAAGAAACTGATAAGAATAATAATGTCGGATTTACACCCTTGTATCAATTTATAATACATTTACTTGTTTATAATTATACTGGGGTATCTGGTATCATTTTATTTATCCACCTCACTGATAGCAAATGCATATCATCAGCAATGAGCTACATGTACAGATTAACCACACTGTGTTTAAGTAACCAGCAAGTGCCCCTCACTCACCAGTATAAAGCCACACAACGAGCTACACTGTCCCTGGGTACAGACCATAGTATTCACTATCAACCATAATAGCCTTTAGACTATAATAACTCACCTGCAGGAGACAGCATTAAGCTGACCTCAAGAAGAGAGAGGCGCTTAAGGCTGCTTCGTGTGCAAGAATTATCTATCATTCACGTATTGTACAAATAATGTGATAAAAATGCTTTGTTTAATTAAGAGGATATTACAATGAACAGGAGTTGGTTGGAATGAGCAGTCACAAGTAAAAAAGTAAAAATAAATAAATTATATTTATTTTTATTTTTGCTGACATTTTTGTTTAATTAATTACTTTGATCTTGAAACTACACTAATATTTTCAAAATGTTTGGAGTGAATTAGCATTCAAATGTATTGAACAAACAGATTAAATAATGAAACGTTGTTATGTAATAAATATATAAAATTTTTCACGTTTTAAATACAAAAAAAGAAAAAAATCAAGTTCAGAATGTTAACTACATTAAAAATTAAAACATTATTAATTGTAATCATAGAATTTAATTTACTTATAAAGTACAGTTTATTTGAAAACAGTATTGTTTGTAACAAAACTTTGAAATATTACAATATTGATAGTCTGATATTTGGTACTCCAAGCTCCCAATGTCCTACTGGTCTTAGCAGGAGAAGCAGAAGGAAGAGTGTTATTTCATTTTCATATATTTATCATTTCTAGCTATAAAAATATATTATTTACTGATTATGGTTGTTTTATTTACTTAAGAAAGAATTATAATTAAAACTAATTGAGCTTTACATTATTTAGACTTCGATTTCTTAGTCTGCATTGTTTAAATGAGACCCTCAATAGTTCGAATATTTGACTAGTGGGCAAACTGCCGGACTATAAAGATTGGAATGTAGTCATAAAAAAAAAAAAAATACGGTACTTGTCGGTTAGACGGACAGGAACAACTGCTCTCTGCCAATGTTTATAACCTGAATACTGATAAGGCATCTCATAATTCCTATCTTCGCATTCATATTTATTGTATTATATTCCTATTATTGAAATTGTAAACAAAAACAAAAGTAATAATAAAAAAATACTTTTATTTTACAACATATATATTAAATATACGAAAACAAATGTAATAATAACAAAACAGTGTGGTTTGAAATTGAAATAGACCAAAATAAAAGTAATGATTCCCAAAACAAAAAGAAAACACTTCAATTATACAACATATATATATGAAATAGAAAAAAATATATGTAATAATAAAAAAACAATATAAACAACATATGTACAATTTATTTTCACTACACCTTATTTATTTTGGTAGGCACTATAGTTTAATGCTATTTAAATAGCGAGGAACGGATCCTCTTCTCTGTGAACCCGCCGCCACAAAAATTCAAATGAATATGAATAGAGGTGTTGTCTGGCAGTTCCTCTATGTTTCTCCACTTCGCTATGCCCCATAATCGATATATATGTTGAGTATGGACCCTAGTTGTTGGATCAACAAAATTATAGAGGTGATTCACCGGGAAATGATTATAGTTTACTTCATTCAGTTGTCGGGTGTTGTATCTTTTCTAACAGTCAGATTAAATCGGGCTTCCCTCTTCTATATTGTTTTTAATACCTTGTAATAAAGTTGTTGCCTTTCTGTCGTTAAATGAATGAAGGCTGGAGTTTTAAAATTCAGGTTTGATCACAATATAGTTTATAAAAAAATCATTTCCAGTCAGAAAGATTGACGGTCCAGATAATCATTGCTCTACTGAAAGTTACCAATTAATTCATCTGTTTACACTCAAGTCTTCCCTCAGACATTTTTATGGATTTCAAATAAAAAGATAAACCATACAGTAGCTGCAGAATAACAGTAATAATAACGGACTAGATACAAAGGATCCACATAAATTTATCATTAATAGTGATGCACAATAAATGCTTACATATGTGTCATTCAAATTAAGAAAAGTAGAAACTAATAAGTGCAAAATAGACAAAAGTACTTTTAAGCTCAGGACGAAAAAAAAAAAAGTTAAAAGAAAAAAAATAATAAATACTATAAATAACAATACCCTGATCTGTTTTCGTTGCAGGTTTCCAGTTCTCTGCACTAATAATAGGCAGGCACACCTGACCTTTTTCGTCTATGTTAGGGTGATAAATCTTTGTTTTGAATGTAATCTTCGGGGGTTTAAAAGGGTATTCTGCCGGAAATATTATCTCGACCTTGAAAGCCGCCTTATTATATGGCGCTGCATCCTATAAATACAGATTACATCAGCAAAGAGAAATTTGTAACACAATTTATTTTCGTTAATTACTAAGAAGGATCACTGGGATAAATTCATGAACTATCCATATTTATTTCTGAATGCCTAAAAGAATATTAGACCAGTAACCTTGTAATGAAAAGAGAGGTCGATCTGAATTGCATCAAGTGGTGGAAGAATTTGTTTTTTTTTTCTTTCTTGTTTGGGATGTGACTGAGATGCTAAGTCCAAGTTTTTGACATTGGTATGCCCCCCCCCCTCGGATCACTTAAGAATCAACCAAAAATTCTAAATTTTCAGTTTCTTCAGATTTCCCCATTTTGACCATGAAAAGGCCCAAAAAACATTCTATGCATTTTTAAACTTGATTAAATTTATTACAATTTGAGAACAGAATAGGCTCGGTAAGATCCATAGATTTCAAAATTTGATGAATTTTCCAAACTTCAAAAATTTAAGCTGTAATAATTCTTATTTTTTATCACATGTAATTGATTTTATATATTTAATAACCTGTCTGATATGAGTTAGTGAAATAAACACTTATTCAATTTAACATTTTGTTTCCAATCGGAGGAAACACCTTTAATTCACATTTTGTTTACACTTTTATTCACTTCATTTACACTTTTTATATACACTAGATGTTGTGGAGGACGGGATGGCCGAGCATGTTGGGGCGTGGGTCCCCCAGAGTGTCCGGTTCTGAACGTAGTGGGTTCGATTCCTACCTGGGTCGGTTACTTTTCATTTCCCACTCTGGCAAGTACGCGGCGGCAACTTTAAAGGTAGCCATCAGGGGTTGGCAAAAAGGAGCACTATAGGCCCACTTGTTGGAATAGTTTCCCTCACCTAGTACACTAGATATTAATATTTGTTAAATAAATTTTATATTTAAATTTCAGTTGTCAGATTGTAATTAGTCAACTTCCTCTCTCCTACCAAATACTGAAGAGACTCTGATGGGCCTGGTGATGAGCATGGGGGTGGGTCTGGGCATGAGTTTAAAGGTGGAGGACAGACTATGCAGAACGGACGAGATCCAGGCAAGATGATACGCCTGGGCTGCTTGACGTAAAGTTCGTCCGGCAGTCGTTTAGGGATGAGTTGGTTCAGAGGCAAAAAGTTATAGAGGACTTTTCAACATGCCACCTCGGATGGCAAGAAAATGGCGCCCACAAGATTTACCTAAGCGAAGCGCTATGTCCGTAACCAACAGACACTTATAATATGATAATAATTAAATGTTTATGAGAACATTTTAGGTTTGATCTGTTTAGAAATTCTAATTTATGTATTTTTTTTCTTTTTCACAGTTGGAACATGCTTTTCTATTTATACCAAATTTTATATTTTTTGTTTTCCATCATTATTAATATCTGGGAAATCTTGCATACATATTGTTCCACTCAATAGAGATATTATCAATAGCTATGGTCTCTGGGCTCATATTGGCTCTAGCTACTGTAGAAATATTCCTATTCTTAACTCCTTCTGACCGTTTACCAAGCCAACCCTCCTTCTTAAATGACTAATATCCTTTTAACCTGCCATGTCAACGCTCAGTCACTCCTAGCCCATTTTGATGAATTTTACGACTTTTTTCTCCATCTACCATTTAATTGCCGTATCCGAAACCCACAATCCCATCTTTCCAGATCCTTCTACCTAACTATACTCTTCTTCGTCATGACAGGGTAGATCGCACGGGTGGTGAAGTAGGTCTCTTTGTCAACGACAGTCTCAAATCCAAAATCCTTCAATGTTCTTCCATAACCGATTCTCCGCACGTTGAATACCTCTTTGCCGAAATCCTCACAACCTCATCTGCCATTCCGTTTGCTGTCATATATCGCCCTCCTAGAATTCCTTTCGATGAATCACTTGAGACTTCTCTGTACAACTTAATACCTTCCTACTCAAATATCATCCTCTCCGGAGACTTTAATTTATTGACGCCATCCTCCGATTATTCTTATCTAACAAACCTCTTTCATTCCCTCAGAATTTACATAATACCCTACAATCCAACTCATCATACTCAGTACTCAGAATCCTGGCTGAATCTGATTATCCTAGATTCCTCAGACAAACTCCTTGCCACATCTCAGCACCTGGTCCTATTTCTATCTTCCTACGATCTTATCCAGATCTCTTACAATGTCTTTGTCCCATCCTTTTCTCCTTGAACAATATCCTTCCAAAACCTATATTCTCTCACTCAGGAAACAATGTCATAAGATCTTGACGATAACCAGTGGGATCCCATCTACTCCTCAAAATCCATAGACACCATTGTAGAAACCCTTACCACTCAACTTCATTCTATCCTCAACCGACATGCTCCTCTTATCACAAAAAACCATCCGATATCCTCCAGCTCCTTGGCTTACTCCTGCTTTGAGAGTGTATGAGAGAAAGAGATGCTACAAAGCGATGGTTTAAACAAACTTGACTTCCTGATGATTTTCTCTCCTTCAAACAGCTTCGAAACAGCACTCAATCAGCAGTACGCAGTGCTAAATCCCGTTACTACCATCATTCCCTATCCAACTCTCCTAATATCAAGGCCACGTGGACTATTCTTAGAAAACTGACCATTGGTAATGCACCCGCCCCAGTCCAATTCCGTTTCTGCTGATAACTTCAACGCTCACTTTGTCTCCTGCCCTCTTGCAACCAAACATCTCCTACATCTAGTCCGGCTCTTATGCTTTCTTCTTTTAATCCTGATCACTTCTTTTTTTCCCATATTACACCAGATGATCTCCTTAAACCCATTCAGAAGTCCCATACCCAATGATTACGATCCTGATAACATCCCAGTCAGACTGATTAAAGCCGCATTGCCATCCACTCTTCCGATACTTTATCATATATATAATTATTCTCT